CACACCAAATCCAACCCTTAGCTGCCGTCAGCCGTCCTAAACCGTGTTTGTAGGTTGTCGATTAGTATTTCAGCTCGCATCGCCTCCTCCGCTTCTCTACCATTTTGTAGTTTCGAGGGCGGTTGCGGTGACCTTTTGTATGGGTTCTTTTACATCTTTTTGACTTTCAACATCAGCGTCGGTTGTCTTTTTCTTTTAGGTCTCAACGGGCGTCACGGTGCCTCTGACGTGACTTTTATTATGACGATAAAAATGAATAGTTGAGGATATTCATGAAGATTAAACTAGTGGGGATCGAAACATGCAAAGGGGAAAATCGAAAATGTGAAAATTCAAAGCTATTGCAATTACTTCATGTTGATTTTGTTCCAAAATGTGTTTCTCAATATAACAAACAGCAAAAGTTTTCTGTTTTTATCTTCTACAGTGTACACTTTTTTTTGAACGAAAAGCTTCATACAATTTAACATTTCACATCCATCTGTTTCTAACGCTTATTATGTTCTTTAAGGTTGTTTTTTTCTTTTGTTTTTAAAAGACCTTTAGTTGCCGATTTTAGGTCTTCGCCGACGTCCGTAAGAGCTTTTCTTTTAGGGCTTCTTAGCGGTTAATGGTCCGAGAGTGTTAGTCTCAAAATGTTATTTTCCTATTTGTTTTATGATTGTTACAACATGTACAAGTAATTGAATTTACATAAACATGTCTTAATTTTTGGGTAACATTAATACAAAATCATTGTGAATTTAAGTCGTTTTTATTTCAACATTATTTGCTTTTGTCTTTGTTATCTCTCTATACATATGCACCTACAACTACTTTTATAAAAGTATTATAAAACCAAAAAAATGATAGCAAATGCTAGAACAAAAGTTTCTTTGGTAATAAATATTTGACTAACGGTTTGTAGTTATAAATAACTGGAATTGATTGATTTTTCAGGCTACAAAACATAAAATTATAAATTAATTAATAATATTTGAATTGTCTAAGACAATTTAAAAAACTATATAAACTAAACTTTTCTCAAAATTTAAAGAAGTGTGCAATAATTACAATAATTAATTAAATTAATAAATTACGAGATAAAGGTAGATATATCTTTTTACTTTTTTGTTTTTGCTGGATTCCACAATGCTTCGAAGAATAAAATTTGTTTGTTGTAAAAATAATGCGACTTCCTTAACTTTTGTGGAGCAGTATATTTATTATTACTGATTAAAATATTTATTAAATCCCAGACATGGTATGAATTCCATTACTGCTCTTGCATTTTTTTTATGCTGCAAAAAACATGTTTCAAAAAATACATTGGATAAAATACCCTGTACAAAAAAAAACACCAAAATTTAGATTAAAATATTGTAATCACAAAATACAGGTTTTTCAAGAGTGAATTTTGTTCATTTTTATCCGACGATCTGACCTACTTGTGCCCAGAACTAACAATTTATGACAAAGTTATTCGACTATTGTTTTTTATCATTTTTAATGTTTAATAAATTAGATAATTTGGGGGCTTTACTTTTCAACGCCTATCTACTAACGATCTCTCTCCTGAATTCTTCCATTCCTTTTAAGAGAATTGCTTACAGACCGATATAATCGACTTAGTTTAATTGACTTTTGTTGATACTTAGGAGCAGTACAAATTCAACATTTTGTTCTATCAACATCAAGAGAAACCCCACACAGAGTCTCGAAATTTAAGTCAATACTCTTTAAATAAGGGGCGGAAATTAAATCAGAATATTTTTCTCAGTATCACTCTCCTCGAGCGTTTCTGTTTCAGTGTAAATTGATTTTCGAACAAGTAAATTGCATTTGATCCAAGTTGCAACCCAATTACCCTTCAAATATTTGCTTATTAATATTAATCTCGAGATAAACGATCCGCTTGGCCTATATTTGCTCACAAAGACAAATAATTTCAAACTCTCATATAAAAAAAAAACTGAGTCAATGTGCAAAATTCCTACTCATTTAATCCCCGACCCTTATAAACAAGACGCAGATGGTTGGCCAACAATTTTGACCTCTCGACGGTCGAAGAATTGGGTTTTCAGCTGTTGATGCAGACGGTGTCCGCGTGGTCGACATTCCGGTATCGATCTAACCGGAGTTCCACCGGAAACGGGCGGGTCGAAGGGTGAGGCGGGGCGGATGCAGGCTCACGCACCCCCGACGGCGTCGAGGCGGCGGCGAGTCTGCTTTTGCTACAGACGACGCGGTTGCATTTTCACTTGAGTACCTCATTAGGTATTGATGAAGGATTAAATCTACACCCTTCAAGCAACGCCAACTTGGACGGGATGAATAGGTAAAGGTTGGGGATTTTGCCGAACGACTTAACTTGCAAAAGGAAAGTGCGAAAGTTGGTCGGCCAAAATAAAAACACAAGGGAAAAGGAAGGGAAAGAAAAAATCGTTAAATTGCTCAAAAAGCTTAACGCAAAATGGAAATTTGTAGAATTTACTTATAAATAAATGCATTTATAGTTTACTATAGGTACTTTATGTTCTTCAGGTGTTGAAATAATGGGATCATATTATTATTTTTTAACATTTTTTTCGGTATTTTTTGTATTATTGTGTCGAAATAACCATTTTAGAGACCAGTTGCCTCTCAACCATTCAACTCATAATCACTAGTTAAACTACTCCTATGATTTACAGCTATTATTCTAGCTCCTAATTCCATGTTAGGACCGGCATTTTTTGCGCCTCAAACCTTCGTTAAACACACCTGTCATAATTGCTCGCCTTCACTTTTCTTCAATTGTTTGGAGACTTTGACAAAGGGTGCGTATTTCCGTGATTTAACCCTCGATTTCAGGCGAGTTTCTTGTTTCTCCCCTAGTCCATAACCCCAGATGTTACTCCCTTCTGGTGGTTCTAAATTTAAAATGAAATATCTTCAATAGACCAGTCTGTTATTAGTGTTTTCAATCTTGCTTATTAAGTAGACTTCGGGAATTAGTTTATTTCAAGGCAGAAGGGAATTTGATCGATACACAAACCAACGTTTGAAGTCTTTTGTGTGGTCTAAGAATTGTTATTAACTTTCACTGATGCTCCCGTTGATTCGAAATGAAATATTCATTGTTGAAAGAAATAATGAAGTTTCACTAACTCCGTGTATAGTAATTTTCTTGAAAGGATTTAATTTGTTGTTTCTGAGGATTGTTATGATGTTCTGATTTTTTATGTATGTTTTTTCCGGGTATCAGTATACTGACAATGAAAATGCTGACGTCACCTTCATTTTGTTAGCTCTTTTATTCTTCTTGATTCTTGTGAACACAGTCATTCATCAAACGTCAAATTGCATATCATTGGTAAATACTTGAAGCCTCACTTATTATTAGACAGTGACATCTCTCATGCTTTCGTTTTATTGATATCTTGACAAGATAATGATAAAATGACAAACAGAATAATTGTGGGTTTTTATGCAATGAAACAAGAAAAGATTTGGCCACCCTTTTCTTTCACATATCAATTAAAACTAATCAGTTTTTCTAAAACATTTACTAAAAAAGCAAATTGACAAAGCCATAGTATTCCCGAGCAAATTATGCAGATGTATTCGAAAAAAGGTTTTAAAATGCTGAAATGTAATCATTTACAAATTAGATTTTTAGTTTGGAACACACGAAAGAGGGAATCACATTATTTTTTAATTTAAACAGAAAATTTGGTTAGCTCTCTAGTGACATTAGTGTGGTCCCGTATTTGAAGAGGCAGGCACTTTGCACGTACTGATTATCACATATGTAGGGGGAAATCTTTTTGGTTTTTGAGCACAACATTTAACTATTTATCAAAGCATTAAAATGCTTTCAACTTTCAAAAAAGAAGTATGTATCTGAAAAAGTGTCTGTTTGAAAATTAGAGAGCTTTATAATAATACAGTGATTAAAATATTTGTTAATTCAAAAAGCCATCAAGATTTTAGTTTCAAGTTTCTGTCTTGGGCTGGTTTATTTTTTAACGTCATTGAGAGGAAGCAAAATACATTATAATCTCTTTTTAACTACATATTAGTGAAACGCTGTTATCATCTTCTCATAAACTTCCCTCAATGAACCCTTCTTGACATCCTCCACTAAAGCTACTCCGTTCAGTGTAAACCTTCCAAAGTTGTCACAACCTGTGTTGTGTTCTTAAGAGTGCCAATTATCGAAACAAACTAAAGTCAATTCAAAGTCAAACTTTGCCACCCTAAGCATAAACATTTTTTCGTATGCCATTCAAGCTCACGTGAAAGCGAAAGATATCCATCTAAATGCGTCCAGTCCAGACGCGAGTAATTACAATGTAATGAATTGACCAAAAGACCGAAAACACGTCACGATATGTTCCATTGTTGAGAATGCGATGTTTGTTGCGATGGCGCCGCACGATATACACAGGGCGTTGACAGATAACATTGCAAAAAAATGCAAGTCGCGTCTCTGTTACACTGGCGACGAGAGAATCTCAAAATCGCCCCAAGGGCTGGAGAAACTCCCAATTTCCACTGCAACTTCGTGAATAATTTACAAAGTATAACATGTCTTTGTACTGGGCGTGTATGCTGCCTTTTCAGTTGACAGAGAAATCTTCCTTGACGTGTTTATTTGCCCAGTAAATAAATATTTATTCGTTTTCCGATGAAAGTAACGATTTAGTTGAGGAGCTGGTTTGTGACGATATTTGCAAAGTTATTCCGTGACTTCATCGTCCAAAAAAAGATTTATTATCAAGTCGGTCATCATAGAATTTATTTTATTGCAGATCTTGATTGAAACGTCCTTGACACATAAATTACTCGACATTTACGTGGCTATTTTTGTTACAAATACGGTATATCCGTTTGTTGGGAGAAAAGACGGAAAGTTTTCAGTGTTTTTCTTTTGATCGAAATTAATGAAGGAAGAGATCGACATCATGACAGGATCGCGTTCTAATCAAGTTAGAAGCTATTACTGTAATTGGAAGGGAATAATAAAACGAAGGTGCATTTTTGTATGGTTTTAAGTATATTTTTAAAATATCTACAATTACATGAAATGTACATTTAGAACAAGTATTTTACATGTGTCAGTCCAATGGATAATCACGCTGTCTGTAATATTCAATCAAAATCACCGGGTTTTTTTAGATCTAGAGCAACATCAAGTGCTTGTTGACTTATTATTTAGGAACACGAACATTTGGAAAATTTTCAATGTTTTTGATTTTATCTTTGATTTGAATACTAGGAAAGCTTGAGAAGAAGCCTAGAATAAATACAACATTATCACATGTACCTGAATATCTATGTTAAATACGTCGAATGAATCAGTTGAAAGCTTCTTTCCGTTCTATTCGAACGTTTGGAAAAAGTTTTGTACTGAAACAATGGAATGAAGTCGCGTCTTATTACGTCTTATTTTGTACATCAAACATCCTCAATACTGCAAACTAGCCTGAATTTCATAATAGCAAAAATATATCCTTGCCTGGTATATGTATGTCGCCATCTTACTCGCTAACAAACATGGACGTCACTTGTCGCTATTTAACAAAATATCACCATCACTATTATTACACTTGGAGGTGCCGTACCTTATCATCCTTGTCCACAATATTTACAGTCTATATACACTCTTCAATGATGACTACTGATGAAAAATAACCGATACATAATCCTACAGATGATATAGAATAATTAAAGCCTGATTCACACCGTCTGGATTCTCCACACTCGACGCGCACTCTCGAAGCCACGATCAAAACAAGTCCAAGTTTGAAAATTAGACCACTTTACGTCACCCGACGCACAATCAGCGAAACCGCCCCCAGGAGCACCAAATCGGCCAAAACTCGCGTCGATGAGTTGGCTTTAAGCGTGTTCTTTTTCGTCGTCGTTGTCGCAATTTCAGACTCTGCATTACTCGCGTCGGACATCATGCTACTGTTTTCATGGACTTTAATCGCTGAAGCCTCGTCCGGGTGCTTTTCCGAATTTCCAACTTGCACAACTGAGGGAATTTCCAGCGGAACGACTTTATGAGTCGTCGATTTTGTCCTACTGGTGGTTGCAGAAGTCGTAGTGGTGGTAGTAGTAGTAGTCGTGGTTGTGGTTGTAGGGACATGGCTGTTGTTGTGCAAGAAATAAACAGGCCCAAACTCGATGGAAACATCAGTTATCAACCGTTCGCGTTTGTTGTCAAATATTGGTCGAGGCAATTGCTCTTTATCTTTGTAAATTGCGTAAACGGTAGCAGTGTAGGGCACCTCAGAATCGGTGTAGTTGCCCCAAAGTGTAACATTAACAGCGGTACCTTCTTCTAGGTATTTTTCGATAGTTTTAGTATCGACCACGTTTTCGGTTTTGGGTAAAGCCCAAGTTCCCGATTTTAAACCATCGGGTAAAGACACAGTGAAATTGAGACCAGTCAAAAGCCCGTGTGCTTTACCCCAATAAATCGAGTAGGTGTAATTGTAACTGATTACAGTATCAACTCTCTGCACACCTCGTTCAGTGTTTTTCAAAGTTGCGTGTCCCAAAACAATTTTTTCCTTGTGGTGTTTAGCACGAATCCTATCGAACTTGACAGATTTGAATTCGTATCTGATAGGTTCTGTCTCGACTAAAATCTGTCCCATTTCGTGTGTTATTTCATTGTTGTTCTGATCCACGACGTGGAAAACACCTAAATTTTCACCTGCATTAAACTTGCCCACATGATAGTCCAAAGAACCGAGTTTGTTATGATTGTTGGTTTCATGTCGGGCAATAAAAGTCCTATCGAGGGGTCCTTCACGTCCCTCACCACTTGTAACACCTCCCGCGAGGTTTGCAGTTACGTATTTATCTTTATACACCCAACTCAATCTAGCACTGTTTTCGACGTTTATCAACACTTCGAAATTCTGGTGTTCGGAGACTTTTTTGTACATGGATACAATGCATACTTTGGATTTAGGCCTTAACTGGCCTGAAACCCAAACATAGTTGGTTCGGGCACGGCACACGTAGACCGGTTTACTGCTGATGGATTCTTCCGGGTTGTCTGGATCTGGAGATAGTGGCTGTGAGTAAAACTTGGGGGGG